GTGTTTTCTATGGTGAACGGTGTTCCTTCGTCGACACGACAAAGTAAAAAGCGGCGTCTTGCCAAAGAATATATGGAAAAGGTAGTCCGAGTGTGTGTTTGGAAAAGCAAGAGAACAATGAGCAATCGGAGAGCGGCGGGATGAATGAAAGTGATTCGGCGCAAGAGAAGCTTGTGATTGAGATTAATGTGTAGCGTGTGCGATAAATTTCTCTGCACATGCAATAATCGGTCATGTGTTTTGCCAACTTGACTTGCTTGACACGATAAAGTAAAAGCTGCTCCCCATCTTGCGAACTCTTACCAAAGAATGTCTTCAAGCGTGAAACTACGCGGGCTTCCAAATCCATGTTATCTGAGTTGCCGAAAAGTGCGTGCATGGGAAATTAAGGAGGAGAAGAATAATAAGAGCTGAAGTTGGATCAGGATGAATGAAAGTGATTTGGGCTACGAGAGAATACTTGGACAAGGAATAAATTAGAGCTCAATTTGAGAATTAATGCAACAAGATTTAATTTCTCATTTTACCATATGCAATAATACATAAACATGATGCTCATGACATGGTTTTAGCAAAAACTATACAATGTAACACCGAGGGTGTTACATAACTACATCACTGATCCTGTCCTCCTCCTGCTCCTCATCTTCCCGTTCGAACTCATTCACATCGAACTCATTGTTTATACAACCTACTGCAGTTGAATGAAACTGTTCCTGCGTCAACTGATCGTCCAAATTCATGTTATCCTGAGTTACTTTCCCTTCGACCCCTAATTCGTGTTCATTGCCTCCAAAACCATCAATGGACGGGCCGTCTTGAACACCCTGCATCATGTACCCATTCTCCACCACCACCTCAGTCATGGGCACATTGGAACCTTGGAGAACCCTAGTGTAGCAGGACCAGTGAGCAGGGTCGCGCAAGTGCATGAGGACATAGTGTACCCTAGTCTTCCCAGTATCAAACCTCCCCTTCAGTGTAAAATCACCGCTAAACTTTGCATTCAAACGGACACAACAGTCGTTGAAGCTAGGAGGTTTATCAAACCATTCCAATTCTTCTTCTATATCCTCAAACATACCATCTTCTCTCCTAACACTTCCTCCAAATAAAACTCTAACACAACAATCCATCTGCAAAAGCATTTCAACAAACTTTATCAAGTCGTCGAATTCGTCGTACGTAATGTCCATAGTAATATTAATACATATTCTAACTATAACTATACTAACTAATCTAATATTAACATCTATACAAGGCTAACTACAATAACTAATTAGACTAAATCCAATGTATAACTAAACTCAATAATTGTACTAACTAAACTACATAACTTTACTATCTATACTAACTTACTATATTACCTATACTAACTAAACTAACTAACTTTATTAGCTATACTAACTACACTTTACTAATTTTACTAACTTTATTAACTATACTAACTACATGAGGGGAGTATGCCATTATATCGCATGGGCGTCTTTGGGCCCACGTCTCCGTATGGACACCCCTCCCACTCTATTGAACAAAGAAAAGCGAAAAGGACGCGGATCGGCCTCGGGAGAGCCTTGAGGGCCGCATGGGCGTGAGGGCCGCCGTGCGTGGCGGCCCAATGCGAGGCTCGGCGGTGGCGGTCGGAGGGGTGGCGCGGGTGGCGATGGCGGGCTCTACAACACGCAGCGGAGGTGTAGGTGAGGCGGGTGGCGGCGGTGTGGCGTGGGTAAGGGGTAAGGCACGCGTGTGGCGCGCTGGACCAGTGGCGCGCGTTGGCGCGGGTTTTGGAAAGCGGCGGCGGCGGCCATGCCGTGCCATGAGGGCGGCGGCTGAGCGACGCGAACGCGGCGCTGGTGATGCTGTCGCGCGTCTGGTGTTCAACTAGGAAGAAGAGAAAAGGGATGACACATTGGTCCGCATGTAAGTGAGGCGGAGAGGGGTGCATTGCGACGGGGCAAGAATGTGCGTGCCCCTAATCCGGATGGTGATGCAAAGAGCGCTGGCGTGCAATTGGTGCCCTACGCCCGGTCTGGCGAAGTGCTTGTAGTAGGGGTTACAAATTTGGGTGAGAGAGGGACCGTCCCAAGTCTCGGCGTGGGCGCGGCGGCGTTGCTCTCACCCGGGAGAGTGGGTTTTGAGTGAGTGCCGCGCCTGGCGCCCCTTTTATACACCGTAAGGAGGAGCCAAGAATACATGAGAGAGCTACACGTGGAGCCTTAGAAGGAAGATCTAGTACATCGCCACGCCAAGATCGGGAATGGTGGTGCGGCAAGCCACGCCACGCCAGGTTTGAAGTCGTGCGGCCGTCGATGCGATTCATGGCCTCCACGTGACATGCCATGCCCTGTGGATTTTTGACTTGGTGGGGTGCCGAGGCCTGTCGTCGAGCTAAGCCGCCGCGCCGCCTGATTGCCATTCATGGCGGGGCCTCGGCGGGCATTTTGGAAAAGTCGGTGGCGCATGGCATGGTAATAGCGCGCCAAAATGTTAGTTTAAAAAAACACAGACAGTGTTAGATTTAAAATTAGTTTTCAAAAGGTGTTAAAATTAAAAAAAAATCTTTATTTGGAGGCCTCCCAGACAACTTTTAGTCCATGCAACAATTTTAACTTCAGACCTCTAAAATCAAGGGGTGGTTTGGTTGGAGCCCTATTGGGAGACAACTTGGCCAGACATCTATCCCAACTTCAAACCTCCAAAATTCAACGCATGCTCCAACCAAACACGTCCTAAGGGACTATTTGGTCTCTGATCTAGGAACCTTGCCTAGGCCAAACATGGCTCCAAGATGTTCGATTTCGAGCGACTATGGGATGGATGCACTTGTCTGGGCGAGAGCCCGCATGTTAGGATCTCATCAAAACATGCTTTTGACTGTGTGGGATTTATGCCTAGGTCAGCCAGACAGCTCTGTCCTACCCGAGCTTAAATCAAACATGTTAATTTCAACTACCTAGGACCACGAGGGCAAGTATATTGACGTTGCCTTCGTATAGTGCCACGAAATTTAAGACAACTTAATTGACGTATGTACAATTATTGTTTTTTAAATTATCTTGTAGTAACTCATAATTTCTTAATTTATGCATAGAGTAAAAATAAAGTTGTGAGTTACATAACAACAACTAATATAATAGTACAACAGCACATTGTCTTAAATTTTAGCTCATGAGGCGGTTGTTTCGCGAAACAACGACCTTTTTGTTCTCCCCTCCCTCTTTCCTCCGTATCAAATTCTATGTGACGGCCTTTGCTCCTTGTTCTGTTTGGATCCTCCAGATTTTAAGAATTCGTATCGAAAAAATCCCACATCCTAAATCCTCATGCCAACGATTTATATTTTAGGGTTAGTTAGATATATGCCATAACAATTCTGTTATTTTTGAAGCACGCCATTGCTATTCACGATACTGTGCCAGTGCCATGATAGTTCTTGTGAAAAATAAAATATGCCATTATATACGTCTGCGGCGTCTTTGGGCCCACGTGTAGGCGTATGGACACCCCTCCCACTCTATTGAACAGTAAAACGAAAAGGACAAACTAGAAGGGGATTTCCGCAAAATGGCTTTCTTCTTCCTTGGATGGCGGCGTGATGAGAGCGGCGGCTTGGGAGCCGCCATGGTGCGTGATGTGGAGAGCGGGTGGGAGGAGAGTACCATGTCGTACTTGTATTGAACTCTAGGGGCCCGAGATGTAGTGGTCGATGGGGTCCGCCATCCGGGACCGCTTACATGCAGTATACCCCTAAGCGCGCCAACTATTGGTGTTTCGGACCGGGGTCCTCAACCGATAGAAATGAACCGCATGCCCCTAATCCGGATGATGATGCAAAGAGACACAAGGTTTAATTGGGCGGCCGAGAAATCGGTCTTGTACTTGCATCAAGTGCTTGTAGGGGGTTACAAGGGGGTGAGAGAGGGAGCTCGTCCTGTGTCTCGGCGTGGCGTGGTGCGGGCTGCTTGAGGCGTTGCTCTCAAGCGAGAGTGGGTGTGAATTGAGTGAGTGCGTTTGCTCGGCGGGTCTACAAGTCGGCCTCAGAAATGCGGGAGGCTGTAAGGAGGGACGAATACATGAGAGAGCTACACGTGGAACCTTAGAAGGAAGATCTAGTACTCTAGTGTGGTGCAATGTGTCATGAATGGCGCTTAGTAAAGGCCACGCAGGCGGGTGTTGAAGTCGTGGGTGGCGGGCCGTAGGTGACATGCCATGCCATCGTGGCGTTGGGCCGATTTGCCGAGGCCTTGAGGTGAGCGAGGCGGGGCCTCGGCGGTCGGCTGCACCGGTTTAGGTGGAAAATGCCGGTGCGTGTGTGCGTGGGGCAACCCTCGCACCTGCCGCCGATGAGGGATGGTAAAAAGGAGATTTGACCGTTGCAGCTTTGCAGCACGACGGTCGTGGCTCGGCAAGGTGCATTCAGCGCATTAAATGGATGGGACAAACTGTCGGACGAAGGCTGCCTGCGGCGAGAGGCGCGTGTGAGACTGTGTTCAACTAGGAAGAGGACAAAGAAAGGGGATGACACATTGGGCCTGCATGTAAGTGAGATAGAGTGAGAGGGGCATTTGGGTCTATACGAAAATATAAAATTGTCCGTACGCTTGCACATGGGCTCAAAGACATTGTATACGTATATAATGGCATATTTCAGCTTGTAATGTCAGTGGTGTAGTTTCTTGAACAGCAATGATGTGTTTAAGAAACAGTAAAGTTATAATGGCGTAGATCTAATTAGCTTTATATTTTATAGGGATTCTCTCATAATTTTAGAATCTCGAAATCTAATAAATTTGTTAGGAGTTTTTATCAGGATTCACAAAACCAATTGCAATCCAGACGGCACCTAACTCAAAACCACTTGCAATCAAATAAAACTGTTGGATTCCTTTTATCCGCAATTATACGCCTTAGGATCCAAACGGCACCTAAATGAACAGGTCGATTTGAACTGCCTGGGCCAGGGTTGCTTGCCGCACGCTACAGTCACTCACACGCTGGCTATGGAGGAGGCATCAGCGAGGGAGCGGAAGAGGCCGCGCGAGGGCGATGCGAGCGAGGGCAACGCGAGGATGCGCGAGGTATGGAAGAGGCTGCTCGAGGCGGCGGCCGGGAAGCCTCAGTACACGTACCTGCCTATCGCCGACACCCTCAAGGTTCCCGGCGTCCGGGTCTGCCTCTTCGCCGTCGTCGCTGAGATCGGCGCCGCCGTCCACAGCCGTGGCACGGGTGAGCCTCACTCTCAACCCCTCCCCTCCTCTCCTTCCGCACCGCGCACCCGCCGTCGGCCTCATCTTAGGGTTTAGTCCGGATTTTAGCAGGATAAGAGTTGGCGGTTTGTGCGTAAGCTGTTGCAGGCTGTATGCTTCCTTCTTCAGTTATTCTTCAGTCTGATTCACCTAGGGTTTGTTATCGGTTGCAAATGCTGCGGAGGCAGGGAAATTTGTGGGGTTCCGTTGTGATTTTTGCTGTGAAATTAGATAAGTATATATATTTGGAAAGATTTGTTGAATAGTGTTGATTAGGATTAGTTCTCTGCTCAAATGCTGCTTGCTTATTGTGGGGGACACATGCTTTAGCTTGTCCGCTTGTCCTTGGATCGCCTCTTTCACAACTTTTTGTATGAAGCATTATGCGTTGAGACTTGAGAGGGACCTTCTGTTGCCGTGTTCATTGCTAAGTCTCGCTTTTGATCCTCAAATCAATGCTAGAACCCTTGATCATGGCTATAGTTTTTGCAGATTTCACTGTTACGTTGAGGATTGTGGATGAATCATGCAAGGCTGGAATATCTGCAACATTTTTTGCTGAAGAAACTGCCCTGTTGCCCTGTGTTAAGTCAAGTGGAGATGTGATCAGTCTCCATAACGTTGAGGTACAGCATAAAACTCTATTTAATTATGCCATTTGTCACTGGGTATTTCTCGGAGTTATAAAATTTCCACATACCTTTTTATATGTGTTGTTATTTAAGCCTATTTTCTTTTCTCATCATTTTTGAAATTTTAGTGACACATTCTGCAGCACAGCACCTAGTTCATGCCTACTTTGATCTGCAGATACAGCATCATGGGGAGTTCTGTGTTACATTTAACAAAAAGTTTTCTTCATTTGCGCTGTTTGAAAGAAAAGTATCTGCTGAGTGCAGCCCATATCAGACATCTATGAAATATCATGGCAGGAAACATGACAAAGAACTGTTAACCCAGATGAGAACGTGGCTACCCAATAATCCTCTAGGTGACTCCTAATCGATAATTATATGTAGGATCAAATAGTATAGTGTAGCCATTCTATTTATGAACTCTTCTTACCCAAAGGAGTTACGTATTTTATAAATTATGAGTGCAACAGAACTTGCATTATCTCATTTTAGCCCTTAGTTAAGGTTGGTCTCTGCTGCCTTTCAATCAAACACAACAACAGTTTGAATTTTGTTGTCTATAATTATTCCTATTTTGTTAGATTGTCAGCTTCTTGCAGTGATCTCATATTACTTTTTAACAACCTGCTCTCCCGATAAGTGGTTGATATATGATATTCTGTTTCTTTAGGATATATACCTTTTACTATAGCATGTATTCTGTGTCTATCTTTGTCTCCTTGCAGAGATTCATGAAATACTTAACTAGTACGTCCCTAACAATGCTTTACTAGCAACTTTTCTAACATCTGTTGCTATCTAACTACTTTGCACCCACAGGCCTGAAAGATCTCGAATTGCAGTTAAGGAGTTTAAAGTCTGGTTCTACTTTTGATCTAGTATGCAAGGTTAGTTCTTTATTCAATCATATTGAAATTCAAGACTTATTTTGGTACAGGGAGTGCTCCAAAAATTCTCTCTGCCTTCTTGTAGGTTTTGCATGTCCATGAAAATAGCGGCAAATGGATATTTTATGTTTGGGATGGAACTGATACCCCTGCAGCTGAGTTTCAGGCAATGTAGGTTTGTCTATGTTTATTTATTGTTTCTAATTTTTCAGCAATAACATAGAAAAAATCTATGCAATAAGGATGGTGCTCTGGTGTTTTTGAAATATTGTTGCAGCTTTTAATCTTTATTTGGTTGTTCTTATATGGTGCACTGAACTTAAGCATAGTCAATGAAAAGAAAATTAGTTTTATCTTCGAAAAACATTTGCTGACGTCAGTCACGTCATTATTTTCACTTAATTGACCTGTTTTTTTTTGTGCCTCTCTGCTATTGATTGGTGAACGTATAGTTCGGATGCTGAGGCAGTTGAATCACCCCTTCTACTTGAAGGACTACCTCTACCCAGGGAGGTTTTATGCACAATGCCATGTGTCGGAACTGTTCTGAGGATTTTTTCAGACAGGTCTGTCAATAAAGTATTACACATGCAAAAGGGTATTTATTGGGCCAGGTTCTGCAACATTACTTGCGAGCAAGAGTTTGGCATTTGGAAAGGCGTTTTCTTGTACTCTAGTAGAGTTCGCCTTTTATCTCATGAAGATGGTAGCGTTGTTGATCGTCTGAAGTAATCTTCTTTTCTGATGAATTTTACTGTTCTTTGGACATCGTATAAGTAAATTTTACCAATTACATGAACACCTCCAGGATGTATGACAGCCGCAACGCCAACAAAGTTCACCGCCAGCCGATGGCAAGCTTCCCCTCTAATGTTGCTGGTATAGAGCCTAGTAGTCTGATAGTTTGCATTGCTCCTCTGAATCACTGATGAACATATTCTGTTTCATCGTTCAGATCATGAATTTAGCTTCGGATTCAGCATTTAACTGATTAATTAAAATAGCAATATTTAAGTCTGTTCATTAGGCCTTATCTTCATTGTTACCTGAATAAGTGTATACTATAGCATTCATCCGTTCTATTTGCATATGAAGGTTGTTGTGCATAAAAACAAACCTCAATATTTTTCTCGTGTGGTATGTATATATAGAGATCTAAATGAAGCACATGATGATCTTGTCAAAGTGCTTGTTTACATGTGTTGTATTGATGAACCGCTGCATATAGTTGTAATGCATTTTGGCTGCCATCTGTTGCCCACAAAGGCTTGCCTCGTGACAATTTGTTATCAATTCTGTCAGATGTAGAATATGAGAAAGCAGGTTACTCAACGTTAATGGAGTCTTTAACTCATCATGAGGTATTACTTCTTTCCCATTTTTCTCCAGTTATTTATTAGTTTTATTTCTGTTTTTGATTTGGTCTAATATTATCCAACACCCCTGAGAACATGCGAGCATGTTTACTTTCAGTTGTATCCCAGTGATTTATATCTCCCTTTTCATGAGAAAACTATATATTTTGCTTCCTTAGTTAGTAACACAGAACCATGAGTGTTCTGAACTCTGACTCTAAAGCTAACCAGCTTCAATATCTCCTTTTTTTGTGGTAGGTGACGCACAAATTGAAAACCTTGGTCCGTGTTGTGGCAGCATATCCCTGTCGAGCTAGTGAACTCCGTTTGCTTTCGACTCGTAAATATTGTATTCGGTTGACTCTTGAGGATCCTACAGCGAGAACTCATGCGTATGTCCATAAGGATAATGTGGTAATATGTTACTAAATAACCCTTATGCTTGATTTCCTTGCCTACAGACCATCCCAGGTGTCCACATTCATCACTAGTGAAAAAAAAATCAGTGTTGGTGGTAAAATAGTTATGGATGCTTAAAAGTCTTGCTGAATTAGGTGATCATGTCTTCAACTAAATCCTTGGCAGGTCAAATTCTTCGGTGGTTTTCTGACAGAAGAAGTGGTCATAAAAAAGATGAACAAGCTACTGGGCGTCCCAGAACCAGAGGACAGCGAGGAAGTTGCCCCCTTGACGAGGAATCCACCTTGGATATGGTGTTGCTTGATATCATACTATCTGGACAAAAACGATCGTTGGGGCAGCAGAAGGTACCAAATCTATGCCACAACGATTAGGGATTGAGTAGGGATGCTGCTCGAATATGCAGGAACAACCTTGCAAATGAATCAAACAGATGTTGTGTAGTATTTTGTTATTTTGTATGTGCTGCCAGCCTGCTTATGTAGTAGTATTTTGTAGTATTTTGGAGGGGGGCATTATAGCTATACAACATTTTGCAAGGATGCAGGGCGACATGCTATAGTTGTAGCCTACTACTGCCAGTGTTATTGCCTTGACGTAATGTCGTTGCATTGCCGTCGATCCGTGGCTATATGCTTTTGTACAGTCAGCGAATTATTCTATCCAGAACACGTGGCATTCTGTACAAGTCTGTATGTGCCAATTGTAAACCTGCACTCTAGATTATCTTAATCTCAAGAACCCCTTATTTTATTGTTCGGCGCCTTACAGTTCTCTGGTTTCTATATGGATATATTTCTTGTGAATTTTCTGCGCTTTGATATTTTCAGTTTCAGAAGAAGCTTGCGATGGACTTCTCTGGTCGTAGTATCTCGATTGTCGCGATTGTCACGCCCCCTCGGCCTGTATCATTCGTTTTTAGCATAACAGATGTGTGCTTACGGTTTCTCAAAAAAAAAAAAAAAAAGAGACGAGTACTTGTGGATCTCAAGTAAAAGAGACCTGCTGTTGTTGGGCCAGGTGACCATCAACCATCTGTGCAGTGGCCCGTGACCATCCAATTCTGTTCTTAAAATCTATCAAATTCTATAGGAAATATATGAACCCAATAAGCCTATAAGCCTATCTGGCCGGTGGCGTCGGTGCGGCCGCTGGGAGCTCCCAGCCGAACAGGGGAGGCAGAGAGAGAGAGAGAGAGGAAGCCGCCCGCGGCTCTGTAAGTCGCCGCAGCCGCGCCAGGCCGGTTGGCGCCGCAACGCCGCACCGGCGTCGATGGTGCGGCAGAGGGCGTCACGTCACCATACATGGCGCGTCAGCCTAGTTTGGCCGCGTTTGGACATTAGGCGCGGCTTAGATTTGAAAAAAAAACAAACGTGTTATTCTTAAAAATTGTATTACAAAAGGGTTAAAAATATTAAAAAATCGCTCCAGTAGAAGTGAAGCACCCGGCGCCCGGCGCAGTAGCAGGCTAGCAGTTGCGGAATGAGCGCCACCAACCCGAGACGTCAAGCGAGTGACGCCGCGGCGGGGTGGGGTCGGGGGCGGCCGCCGGCCGCCGCACGACAGCGACCTCCATGCGGGGACGGCGGAGCCCTGGATACCTCGTGGCCGACCCCCACTGGCGCCGTCTCCTCCTGGCTCCACGACATTGGTGAGCCACCGCAACCCTAGTAGTGGGAAAAAAATCGCAGCTTTGCTTCACCGCGACATTGGTGTGGTGGTCATAGTTTTTTTTTTGAACGTATATTTCTATTCGTGCGATTGATCGAGGAATTGAAAAATGATTGCACGTTGTTGCTTCCCCGCGATGTGGTGCGGTAGTGAACGGAGAAGTAAAGCTTGAAACAGAATGCTGACGACGTCCCTGTCCGTTCCTATCTTCCTTTCGCATCATCATCTTCTTCTTCTTGGCTAGCTTTGCTTCCACTCGTGCAACTCCTTTTTGTGCAAATTGTTAGTTCCGTAACGTAGTAGCGTGTGTGTACATATATATTTGATGCCTCTTTGTGTTTGAGCTGTGGCTTCGCTCATAGCTCACACAATGAGCGTGCAGAGAGCCAATGGCGCTTCCTTGCTCCATGCACTAGTTGTTGTGTGCGCCCTGTGCTGGGCATTGTCTTCTTGGTGTGCGGAGGGGCAGAACCCAAATGGTCAGCTGAGTGTGGATGCCTCGCCGCAGAATGCTAGGAAGATCCCTGATAAGATGTTTGGTATCTTTTTTGAGGTGTGAGTCAGGTTACAATTGTCTTATCAGTTAGAAGCAGCCATCATCTGGTGGCACATCAACAGTTCAAATTCTGAAACAAATTTTTATTTTTATTTTTAATTTTTTATGCTCTGATGGTTATCCTGACAAAAGATGGTAATTCAGATAAGTTTTTGGTTGTACCTGTAGGAGATCAACCATGCTGGAGCTGGTGGGTTGTGGGCAGAGCTTGTAAGCAACAGAGGTACTGAAAAAAGAAGCTCTTACTTGCTTGTATACCTGTACCTGTTACCTAATTCTCCACTTCTCCCTTTGTTTTGCTTTATTCGTGTAAACTCTCACAAAGTTATCTCCAGGATTCGAGGCCGGTGGGCCTAATACACCTTCCAATATTGATCCATGGCTGATCATTGGGGATGAATCAAGTATCATTGTTGAAACTGATCGGACATCATGCTTTGAACGTAACCCGGTTGCACTTCGGATGGAAGTTCTTTGTGCTTCTAAAAAAACTAATGCCTGCCCATCAGGAGGTGTTGGGGTCTATAATCCTGGTTACTGGGGCATGGTATGATATTTCCATGTATACATGATTTTGTTTTTGGAACAACTATGCACATTGGAGGATTTGGAGCTGACGTGTTGTTTTCCTGTCCTAAGAAATTCCATGACTGTTTTCTACCTTGCTCTGTCTGATCTGTTTCATTTCTCTTTCCCAGAACATTGAAAAAGGAAAGGTTTATAAGGTGAGCCTGCATATTAGGTCATCAGACGCAGTGTCCTTGACTGTTTCCTTGACAAGCTCCGATGGTCTACAAAAACTTGCTGCTCATACCATCACGTAATGTTTTCTGCTGTTAATGTTAGCATCAATGGATGCATATATTGTCATGTAATGTTTACATGATTTTTCGTTTCACTTTCAGAGGTAGCAAGAAAACCTTTGCAAAATGGACAAAGATAGAATTTCATTTGAGATCCAACCAAAATAACACTAACTCAAGGCTTCAACTTACAACAAGTAAAAGTGGGGTAGTTTGGCTTGATCAAGTATCAGTTATGCCAATGGACACTTACATGGTATACTACTAGCATTCATTTCTGCTTTTATTTTCTCTATTTTCTAGTGGCGCTTATTTCTGACCAGCTGGATTAGAATATTTATTAATTAATTGCTGCTGGTCCAACTATACAGTTAATGCTTATTTTACTCGAATGTAGTTGTCCAGGGATGGTCTGACTCTGACTTTTATTCATTACCACATGTCTTTAGGGGCATGGTTTTCGGAAAGATCTTGCTTCTATGTTGGCCAATCTCAAGCCTCAGTTTCTCAAGTTTCCAGGTTTATTATCTTTGATTATTCTTACATTATACTGGAGTCAAGTTAAACACCGTATTTATTGCGATGGTATGTGTAAGATTCTGTACCTACCATGTTTTAGGCGGCAACTATGCCATGGGAAATTATCTACGAAATGCATTTTGGTGGAGTGAGACTGTGGGGCCATGGGAGGAAAGACCTGGTCACTTTAATGATGCCTGGGGATACTGGACTGATGATGGACTTGGATTTTTTGAGTTCCTTCAGGTATACTCCTATCTGATACTGACCTAAGATTTATCAAACCCAAATGTACTTGATACTGACTTTCCTTGATTATAGTTGGCTGAAGACCTTGGTGCTTCCCCAGTTTGGGTGGTGAATGATGGTAATTTCAGTCTCAGCAGATATTTGATATGCAGCCATCAGTTGATTTAAGTTAACGGATTCTTATTAACAATCCAGGAGCAAGCCTTAATGAAGAAGTTTCCACAAAAACAATTGCATCATTGGTTAAGGTATTTCTTGCATATTATTTAGTCAAATCTTCCTTTGATAAAAGAATGGAATATAGCTGCAAACAAGAAAAATCCTTGGTTTTAATTTATTTAATTCATTTTGTACAATATTTTTGTTAGTTTAGCTGGACAATCAAAATCACACGCATTCATTATCTTTTGGAACTTAAGTTAAACATATCATGAAAGCATTGCAAGTACACCTTTCCTCACAACAATGAATTACAAGCACATTGCACATATGATGTGTTCAATCCTGTGTGTATGGGGTGACATGATCTTATTAAACAGGTAACTATTGGTCTGTGACCAAAAGAAAAAATAAACTCAAAAGGTAACTTGTTACTCTTTGTAACAAACTTTACAACTCGCAAATTTTAACAACTGAACCACGCGATCTTTTTTTTTTTTGTGGTGGAAGCTGTGTTTTCCAGCGAAATTGTTGATGTTTTGTTGAATTTACATAAAACATCATTTCATAGTTTTGGTGGGACGTGGGATTGTGTGAGTGTGAGATGGCCGATTAGTATTGTTTTAGTTGGAAAAGGTGATGAGAATGTGAGAGTCCTGTGATTTGTGTCTTCTCAAATTCACCCTATTGACACCAAGAATACTGTTTATTTTTCACTTCCAGTACCAAAGCCACCTAGTTTTATTTGTACCCTTTATGCTGGCCCAAATTTCTTAAGATCGTCTTTTATCAGCACACTGTTGTCATTTCCTGCAATTTGTTTATGCTTGTACGATTTCAGGATGTTGTTAATGGCATAGAGTTTGCTAGGGGAGGACCCAAGACAACTTGGGGTTCAGTTCGTGCAGCAATGGGACACCCAGAACCGTTTAAGCTTGATTATGTTTCAATAGGAAATCAAGAATGTTGGATGCTGTACTACAGAGGTTGGTAATTCAGTTCAGCTGTGTGCTCTTTATTTCTAGTTTCTAAACAAGAGCTAATTTACAAAGCGACAGAGTTCAGAAGGTTGCATTTTGGAAGGGAGGAAACAAACAAATTTGAACTCCATTTATTTATGGCACTCCTACACTTAAATGGTAGACCAGCTAATTTATAGTTGTAGTGCATTACACATGAACTCACATGATTTGGCATTTTTTTTTCTCGGACAACACAGGAGAGCTGCGTGTCATTTCATTAACAAGAAAAAATATATACGAAGAGGAGGGGGGGGGGTAGACCCTCCGAGAACATACAACTCCGACCAATTCGGCATATTTGTATATCAATTCTTTTTATGCATATCCAGTTTAGGTTCTATTTTTTAGTCATTTGCGTTTGATGTTTAAGGAGATAATTCAGTGTGCTCTTTATGTTCTGTACGCATAAAACGCTCATGCTCTTTTGTTTTTCATTTTATAGGAAACTACCAAAAGTTTTATTCTGCAATTAAATCTGCCTACCCAGACATCAACATTATATCAAGTTGTGATAGGCCAACTATTTCTCCATCCAACCCTGCCGATCTTTATGATGTTCATGTAATGTCTCAATGCTATGTTCCTTGCTTGCTTGAGCAAATTTTTCGTCATGGTTGACAAAAACATAATCTTCTACCTCAGGTCTACACCTCTTCGAGTAATATGTTTTCAAAAGCTAGTATGTTTGACAACACACCACGTGGAGCACCGAAGGTTTTGTTCTGATGCTCTCTGTATATCTGCAATGATTTATGCCGAAACTTACACATTGAAATGACGGGAAACACTTTGACTGTTTAGGCAATTGTTAGTGAGTACGCTGTGACTGGGAACGATGCTGGCAAAGGAACACTGGTAGCCGCACTGGCAGAAGCTGCATTTCTCATTGGATTGGAAAGGAACAGGTTAGCTGTACTATACCCTTGCTTCCTCATTTTAGAGTTCTGCCATATAACCATTTCTCAGATTTGTGTTGCTGGTGGCTGCCAAAATTAATGAATGATACTAAATTTTCGATTAAGAAATCATATTGCAGATATAACTGTTTGTCTGTTCTACTGTAGTGATGTGGTTGAGATGGCAAGCTGTGCACCCCTTTTTGTAAATGACAATGATCGCAGGTAAGGACTCCACACCTTAAGGGAGTGGCTAAGTGACATGACACAATACTAGTATCTTTCCAGTTTCCACTGAATATGAACAGAATCCAGCATTCTATTATCCAGCTGATTTCGGCCTGTGTGCAAGTATAAGAACTGTTCAGCCTTTTTATCCTGTTATCATTTTAACTTCATAATTGTTTCCTTCTGCTATGAGTTTCAACAATCCACATAATTTGAAAAGAGAATGTGTGAAATTAGGTGGAACCCAGATGCCATTGTCTTCAACTCGTGGCAGCACTATGGGTGTCCCAACTATTGGATGCTACACTTCTTCAAGGAATCTAGTGGCGCCACCCTTCATCCTACAGCAATTCAGATCTCCAACTATGATCAGCTGGTTGCGTCTGCCATCACTTGGCAGAATGCTAAAGACAGAAGCACTTACCTCAGGATAAAGGTAACTAATCTTGTTCTTTCCACGCATGCTCAATCAGCTCCAGCAAATACTGATTCTGTAAAAAAAAGAACTAACAGGCATGGTGGCAATCCATTTGCAGGTGGTCAATTTTGGCAACCAAGCTGTGGATCTCAACATATCCATTGTGGAACTGCCCACTGGCATCAAGAAGTCTGGAACGAAACAGACGGTTCTAACATCCAGCAGCCCGCTTGACGAGAACTCCTTCCAGCAGCCAGAGAAGGTTAGTGCACCTACTGAATCAGTCAATGACTGAAAAAACAAAATCACTGCAAGTAATGAATGGTTACAGATAGCTGTGGAAGTAAACCCTAGCAAGTATAACGCAAATACTGTTTGGTGAAATGAACTGTGCAGGTGGCACCAGTGTTGAGCCCAATGGTGAACGTGGGGCAGCAGATGGGCGCATTCGTGGGGCCGTACTCCCTCACCTCGTTTGACCTGCTGCTGGAGCCGAGCAAGCATGACAGCATTTGAACTGTCAACTGAAGAGGCAAAATGAACAAAGAGGAGGAAAGAACAGATAGATGCTGGTACTAGACTACTAGTTGTATTCTTCAGATATGGATCTGTGCTGCTCAAGTTGGTGTCGTAGACGTGTACTGTATTTGCAAGAAATAAGTGTGATTGTCATTAAGATATATACCAATGGGCACCATTCGTAGAAGACCACTTATTTTCACCCGATCCTGTGCTATTACTGTTAAGCAACGTTGAATGGAGGATTACAGAGTAGCTTGTATCCTGTTGCATGATCACTTGATTCGTAGAGGATCAGTTGTGAAATCGATTGCTGCAGAGAACAAGATCAGTAGGGAAAACAACATGAGCAGAGCAGAATCCATTGTAGTGTAGCTGGTTAGGATGCTCGCCTCTCAACGGAACGGCAAGGTGAGGTGACGAAGGCCGATGGTGTCGTCACGCCACTCGACGACGTGATGACCAGCTGCCACCTGCCCAGGAAGCTTCCTGTACAGGCCGTCGCATTCCATTCTGTTTGTTTTGCTCGAATGGCAGGTCGCGCTGTTTTCAATACATGCACGTATTTCACAAATGGGAGGTACACACGCGCTGGCAGTAAAAATCCTGCTCTCCAGCCCCGTTCCAAATTACAAGTCGATTTAACTGTTTTGATACATCCAATTTATTATGTATCTAGATAGTATATGTCACTCCCTCCGTCCAAGCTAGAATTGTGTTTTTTTTTTCCTGGACGAAGGGAATATGTCTAGATACATAGTAAATTTAATGTACCAAAAAATTAAAAAGACTTATAATTTAGAACAGATGAAGTACTATCGAATCGCCTATGCTCAGCCATATGTTTTACACGCAAGTGAACATCATTGCATGCTTTGACTATATTCTTATTGCAGGAACAACCATATCAAGGTAACTACAAAGAAAACCACCAACGAATAACATACACAAGAAGGAATCGCCAAGCTATTGAGTCAAAGTATAAACTCCAACGATGGAGGCCGGCATGTCGTCGTTGCTCACCAAACAATGCACCACCAAGTGGCAATGCTCTGAAGATCTCTGTTCCACATGTGACTATTAGGCACTGAGTCGAGATTTGACAAACGACAGCCGTGATATACATCATCGAGCACATCCGGATCCAATTGTCGTCTGCTAACACCCCTTGAGGGGAGGAAACCTCAAGGAGGGGAGGACCCACGGTTAGAGAACCAGAAGATTAAATCAAGATAGTAGATCATGGTCTCGCTAACTCGGCATATGGTGAGATGATTTAATCAAGGATCCCGGAGGACGTAAGAGCAAAGACACTGGCAGTGGCAGCAGACCCATCCTGCAATCGGCCACCCATATAGGAAGTGCGTGCAAACAAAAGGACCCTGCAGAAGAGTTGTGGTTAAATCTAAGATGACCCTCCGCGGCAACGCCTAAAAGTTAGGCGTGAAGTCGATGTCGCTGCCATCACCAGCCCCAGAGAACCGAAGCTAGGTTTTCATCCAGAGATACCCTAGAGTTATAGAGGTGGAGAGGCTACAACGACGCCGTGAGGGGTTGGGGAGGCACACATTGGACAAGCAATCCACCCAAAGATGCAAGCCTTGCCTAGTGCCCATGAACGAGAGGACTCAAAGGCGTCACAACGATCATCCGCGACCACTTCACCTACTATGTCTTTTTCGACTACACCAGCGAAGAGCCCAAGGCTATGCCAAGGGTCAAGCCACTGAAAGTGAAGTCATGAAAACTTGGCAAACTATTGTTTTTCTAAATAAATGTCAACTGGTGCCGGTCCAAGCCGTTTTTAAAGAAGAGCGAGCCAGCATGCATGCCAGTCACGTTCAGTATCCGCTTACAAACAACAACTGTATATGTCACTACACAAAACAAGTTTATTCTTTTAGAAAAGGGTGCAGTCGTCTTAGCTTTATGTATCTCGATGGAGAGAGTAGCAATATTAGCGGGACTTGAATAGCTGTTACACAAGACTTATCTCTAAGCCCTCTTTGAATGAGGGAATTTTTTTCTGGTTATTTCTACGTTTTTCTATGAAAATAAACTGACTCATGTATTTTTTTGTTTAATTTTCTGCATTCCGAAAAAAGTGTTGGTTTGCTGCCAGGATATGGTGAGAATCGATTCATCTAACTTAAGTTAGAGGAACTCAAGATGTTGATTGGTGAACAACCTAAAATTTAATTTAAGTTACTATTAAGTTAGATGAGACTAGTTCGATGGTGCTGTGATGAGACCTAAATTAGGCTTGTGCCAACAAGGCAACAACAAGCGCCTTACCAATAATAATACCGACGTCAGTGGCGAAGCTAGAGTGTAACAGAGGGGTGCGACTATAAAGAAGTAACAACAAAAAAATAGCAATATAAATACTATTAGCATGGTCAAAACTATTAAGATGTGCAAAAATACATTATGTTACCTTTAATTGTCATCAAATCTGCGTTCTTGCATTTTCTTGAAGCGACGAATCACGGACTCATTCGTGATTTTCGTTATTTCTTCTTTCTCCACATAGCAAATAAGACAATCGCTCATAAATTGATCACCGATGCGGTTGCGCAAATTCGTTTTCACAATCTTCATGCCAGAGAAAAGTCTCTCAACTGTAGCAGTAGCAGCTGGCAGTACTAGTACAAGCTTCAAAAGTCAATAAACCAGTGGGTAACGTTCATATTTTCTAGTCTCCACCATTTTCTGAGAAAGCTCGGCAATAGTTTGTATGCTGGAGAACCTATCATCATCTCACATCAAATATGTGGAGGCCAAGTTCGTTGCTAAGGTCCCTCAGATCCTTGAATCAAAATCATGTGGATAAAGCTTTGCTAGGCTCAACAACTTGTCCACATTAAAATAACAAAAGTCTCTTGGACTAAGAGAGGCCGAGCATGCAAGCAATTGAGAGCTTGTCTCGTTGAAGCGGTTGTCAAGCTCTTGAAGTAGCCAATCAATAATATCATTGAAACAATCTACTTGGTAGTAATGCTTGTTTGTAATTCCAGATTTGTGCCTCCTCTTCTTTAGATCAATATATTCATCTTCCATTTCTAATTTGGAAATATCATTCTAATCACAAAATCCATACACATCATCTAATAGTTTTCTCCACTTTTCTCAAGACCACAACCATTTGTTCTTTCCAAGAAACATCTCTTGACTTGACTCATCAACTAGCAAGAAAAAACATCATTCCCAATTTCTAGAATAGCCTGTAGCACCTCCTTTGCAAAATAATGCACAATGTCCCTTTGTATTTCAGGAGAAACCAAAAGACTATTTTCTGATTTTTCTTTACTTGTTGCCTTTGTTAAGACTGGATTTTGCTCCGCTGCAAAATCACAAAATTCCCTAAAATTTCCTCTATTTAAAGAATCCTTCGACTCATCATGGCCTCGCAAAGGCAAGCCTTGCTTTGCTAACATTCTAGCAACATCATTAGACCCATTCAGTCGAGTAATATAGTCCCTCTTAGCACTTTCATTTACACCACGGAAAGGCACATTAATGTGTTGTCTTGTTTGCAACAAATCATCACACTTCTTCATTGCTAGATAGTGTGAGCCACCAACATCACCCACATGATCTTTGAGCCTTTGTTTTCTATGAAAACCATTCCAACCATTTTTCACAAAAGCTTCATATCCACCATCCTTCTTTTCTCTGAATAGGAAACAGAAAAAACAATATGCCCTATCTTTAGATTCACTGTATTGAAGCCAACTTCCAAACTCATCGAACCACTCTGGAATAAACCTTCTTGGCCCTCCTCCAATATTTGTCACAGGAAAACTAAATGTGCGAGGCTGACAAGGCCCTTTTTCCAAGTATTTCCTTCTCACCATTTCTCTATGATTAGGATGGTAGTCATCAATTTATTTCCGCAACCCTGGATTGTATTTAATCTCCTCTTCTCAGTTGATATCATCCAAACACAAATTACGAGCATTGTTGGCACTATCTGGCTCTAGTGTTTTTCTTTTGTAAAATCTTTCATTCGATTAATTTGTCATTAGTACATTGTCTAGTAAATAACTTGAGAAAGAAATAGAGGCAAATATCTACAAGAGTACAAGACTACAGCTACAGACCTAAAATAGTACTTCGTACCTTGAAAGATTGAATTCTTGATGCCCGGACCACCGGATCGCATGTAGACCGGCCGGACAGAGAGACAACAAGCTTTTGAGCTGGTCGAACTTCTTGAGCAAACAACGTTGCAAACTTAGGCACTCCGCACTCACCACTCAACGACAAAGGCTGCTGCCGGGATGCGGATTGCAGAGAGGCGAGCAAAGCAACATGCTCCAAAGTAAAGATGGGCAAACGAGTCGCCAGCCCGCAGACGGCATAAGCTGCAAAAGCCGTGCGAACAAACATGGCTATGATATACGGCATGGAAGGGTTATCTCATCTCGCCGGGCCATGCCGCACACCTAAAAAGACCCTAGCTGACGGCTCTCCGGGCCGTTTCCCGTGCCGGGCCGGCCCAAAAAGCACGGGTCCAATAGCACACCGGGCCGTCCCGAGGCCCATAGATGCCATACACAGATATTCTAAAAAAACAGACAGAGAGAGGGAGGGGGAAGGCCGGAAGGGGAGGCAGGGGCTCGACGCCGATCTAGAGGAGGCGTGGAGGAGCTCGGTGCACACGTCCCGAGCAGCTCGACACCGGATCCGGAGGAGCCGCTCGAGGCCGGCCACCGCGCTCGACGCCATTGGGGAGGAGCTGTCGCCGAGATCTCGATGGGGAGCGCCGTTGCCCGCCGCTGAAGCTTCACCGCTGGCACCGCCGGTTGCTCGGCCTTCCCGGTGGCCTCCTGCGGGGTGGGAGATTAGACGGGGAGACAATGCGGTGGTGGGGGGGGGGTTGCGCGGCTGCGGCGAACGCGGGGCGGAGAGGCGAGAGCGACTAGGGGCGGGGGGCGGGGTGCGACCTTGCGGGGACGCGCTCATGCGCTTAGGAGGGGCGCTGTGTCTGGGGG